GCAAATTACCTTCTTAGTGCAACAAGATTCGAATATAATGTGCTTTGTTTCTTGCAATTTCAGAAAAAGCTACAGAGGGTGAATTATTAAAAAAAATTAAAAACCTACCTATTTTTTTTATTTTTTCCCGACAAAATACGGTTAAAATATTATTATTTAATTTGCTGAATGATTTTGGGTTTTCCCTTTAAATACTTCATCGGCATGTAACCCAGAAATAAAAAACAATATACAAAAGCAACGTAGTCAGATATTCAACAAAAGAATTATAACTCAAGAAAAGATTTACACCTGCTGCATATTCTCACCAATAAAGTGGGCCAAATTGCACTCAAGCAAGTCTTCAAGATGCTTTTTCCTATATATACTCATTCGTAAGTAGTCCTTGAAGACTTCAAACGATTATGGTTCACGCCTCCATTTCGCAGCACTCAATGCTCTTTAATTGGTAGAACAATAGCAAGACTAGTTTCTCCTACAATTCGAATTCATATTTATTCAAAAGCGCCAAGTAATTGGTCTCGTTATGAAGCTACGTAATTTGCAAGGAAGTAACAAAAAGACAATCACACACTTCCAGAAGTATTGAGTGGTTACAGATAAAATATACATGATACCTCGGAACAGATATGAGGAGAACAGTCGAAGATTGCATCTATTCTCAGCAACGAAATAAAGAGAAGCAACGCAGATTCCGATTCCTAATATCCAGATAGCTTCTCTTAGGGACATCAATCCTACAGGATCGACGGGTTCGTTAGAAACCTTAGGAATGAAATGGGCACAGATACTTAAACGCCCTTGAATCTGAGGATCACTCTTACAAAATATTTGTTTAATTTTCTTTCTCAGCCCCGCTTCAAGCACAAGTTGCAAGCCTCTCTCCACTTTGTGAGCATGAACCCAATTCTTTTTCACCATGAAGGACATAAAACGTGGACTTACTAAACAAGGGGAAATTCGCTTGACATCCCGGTGAACCAATTTTTCAAAAAGTACTTTTGAAATATTTTCCATGCCATCTCCAAACAAAAGTGCTTGTTGGTAAGTGTCCACGAATAGGTCAGGTCGTACATTCATTTTATATATTAATGACTTGTTTACGCCAGTTAGATTTTCTTCGGAGGTAAAATCATACGAATCGAAAATCCCAAATCCTGCGATTACTTTTAAAATGGTCGCATTCAATTCTTCTAGAGTGCTTATCTCCCTTTGTTGCCCAGGAGATAGAATAGATCCAGTGAGATCTCCACCGATAAAGTTCCAAAGAAAGAAACTTAGAACACTCATCCACACCATAAGCTGACGCATATTGTCATCATATCCACCTGTTATGAGGCTCTCTACGACTTCGAGCATTGCGTGAAAGACATTCAGTCCATAACCAATGGTAGCTGCAAGGATAATTGTTACAACGCAGGCTGCTGTCCACAACCAAATGGAAAGAGGCACATTGAAAAAAATGCTTTGTTCGATTGGTAGTGGCTTAGGAACAAGAAAACACAAGTCGTTCTTCTCATGAGGATACATTCTCGAGTTCGAAGAGAAACCATACCACCGATTAAACGGGTTACCATGTGGAATGCTCCTGACTTATCAATCTTGTTGACAATCTCAAAAGACCGATTGCCACCCCACTCGCTTGATCAATATCCTTACATTTCAACTTCAATTCGATATATAATACAGGCTTAAGAATACTACGAGTGTAAGGAGTATAAACCTGTAAACTCTCGTTTATTTGTTACAAGCCAATTGCGACGTCGTAAAAACCGTATGTGACAGTGTTCTGATTATCCAGTAGTAATTTAATTTTCGTTTTGGAATATTTTTTGGCAAATTTAACAAATATCTATTGCTATTCAATTTCTTCTTTTTTAAAGATTGAATGCCGTCTAGTTGTGATGATATTGTTATAAATGGACTGAAAATTATTAGATATAGTAAGAAATATAATAATATGTTTTTCATCTTTGAAATTCTTTTGAATTGAATTTAACAGGTTATAATAAAATATACAGGAAATGTGTAGCTATTGTGACATATGAAAAGTATTTTCTAATATAGATTAATTTTAATACAACCTAATGATAACTTTTCTTCGATAACCCTCTTTCAGGTACCGTTAACCTCGTTAACCCTCCTTCACATTTCAGATTTCAATAAGAAAAAGTTACGACCCCTTCGTCAGTAAAAAGTCTGTTCTTTCAAAGCAACGAATATGTCAGTATCTGTCAAAGCTATTGAAAACTCATTTTTGGTGGCAATTTTTACAAGTATCGTTAATGTAGAAAGTACAGGTATATGACAATACCTTTTCGATCTCATGGCAAAGAAAATATAATCACGTAGTTGTTGATCAGACGAACATGCCGACTCCTGCCGACAACCTGTAAAACAATTCACTAATTATTAAGATATATAAAATAACTTCTGTATTTTAACGAAAGATGTAAGAGTTTTAAGATTTATTATTACATATATTGAAGCAAAATGATTTAACTCCGGTAGTTCGCTATGGAAGAAACATTAACTTGAATAAATATTTCCAGCTACATTCTTCTAGTAATCAATCCTCTTTTTGAAATTTTTCTTGCGTGTATACATTAAAAAACCCTGGCTTTACCATCTCTGGGTAGAGATGATCCTGAGGCGAATACCAAAAAATTAAGGCGTCGATTTGTGCAGAAAACTGCAAATATTTGATAGTTTCGTCACTTGTTCACACACTCTGTCACGATAATTTGTCATAATTGCGTCAGTGCTTTCAATACACTAGCGGGACAAAGAAATAATGAAAGAAACGAGTATCACGTATGTATAATATGTTTTTCACAATTATAGTACGGGGTTTCAGAATACTCCTTTTGTGTATTTCTAATTATGTCAAGTATTGTTGTACAATACTGTATTACTATAAAATTCAAATACTATTAAAAAAATCAACACAGGAATAATTTCATCAATGTTTAAGCATATTGAGCTAGTTTTTTCATATCGAACATGGATAGCACAAGGTTGGGAAAATAATTTAAATTATGTTTATTTCCCCTGGGTATATTAATAAACAGTTCACATTAAATACAGGGGCTTCGGCGGATGATGCGTTTGCTTACTGGACTCTGAACTTACAGTACACGTGATTGATCCCGGCCGAGGTGACCGGAGTTAAGAGAATAGAACCAGTAATTAGGTGCGCGTTATTTATAAAGATTCTCAAACCTGTGTCGGTGGTAGGTTTCTAAAAATCCTTGGTTTGAAAACTCAGGGAAAGAAACGGGAAAGTTCACTGAGTATATATTCTCCCAAGAAAATCCATCATGATTCAACACAATAGAACACAAAATGTATAAGTACATTCATTCTTTACCTCTTCACCCTCTACAAATAGTTATAGATGATAAAAATAATATTTTACCCAAGTGATTGCTGCCTTCTTTGAAGCCTTAACGTTGCACTAAGCACAGTATCGATGAATCTATTGCTTTCCAATGTTAACTTTTCTTGTTAGCAATGTACTACTTCTGTATGGAGAAAGAAAAACAGTTAATATAGATTAAATAATTTATTGGCGTGTTTCTATGAAATCTTTCTCATCCATCATACGATTCCCTTAAATTTCCGTGATTGATATCTCCTACGCATGATTGATTAAAAGATTGTAGTTTCGTGTCAAAAACAGGCATTGGCCAGAACGGTTTTTCTCGTGTTAGCTACTAACATTATAGAGTGGTCAGTAAGTATTGAAACGGATTTATTACACGCATTTATTAATACTATTTGCCCCACATTGGTCAAGCTAATTTGAATATGTTACTATGAGTATTGAATATATTCTGTCAATGTTGGGCATTGCCAATTTGAAACTATTTTACGTAATAAATATGAAAATATTTACTACCACAGTGTGTCTCTCGCTAGGTAATTTAATTTTAACGAATTTTTAATTATTATTATTATTATTATTATTATTATTTTTATTATTATTATTATTATTATTATTATCATTATTACATTTGAAAATTTTTCTTTTTGTTAATTTATTAATGCAAGATTTTCATGTTCTTGTATAATTATATTTACTTTTTTGGGCTAGCGTCATGTTCACCACGTACTAGGTAATTCGTGAATATTTATTCTGTTAAATTTTATTTCATTAAATACCATTAGCTTGCCAGCAAATATGTTAAGAATTTTATAAATTATTAATTGCTTTTTTAATTTGTCTAATAATTTCTTTGCTAAGAATGAGTAGGTAATTTTGAAAGATGTTTTCTGTGCCACTAACGGTTTGTGATGGTGTTGTCTTTGTAGATTCTGTTAGTGATATGAAAAGCTTTCTTCCAATGAGTTTCAACGACTACTAGTAATCTTCTGCTTTTTTCTTAAGGTTCGAATTGTAGCAAAGTTAATATCCTAAAATCAGAACAACGGAAAGCTACAAAACAGTATTGACTCTCAGTAAAAAATCTTTAAATGGCGACTAATTCTGACCTAGCTATCTACCTAGAGTCGAAAATCCTGCTACCTAAATACGAAATATATTAGTTCACTTCCAATTCCAAGTTCAATTAACACCAATTTGTTGTACGATTATTTTATGCAGAATATTTTTGAAATATTTAGTATATTTCTGTATTTGATGCAAGCAATATTTTAAATGTCATAGTTAGAAAAGTGGCAGACATTTCTAGACATACAATTTTGTTATTTAAAAATAAATATTTGCATTTTTCCTTTTAAAATATGTAATAGGACGGCATTAAACATGACTCAGTTTAAGACTTCATTGATATTTTGTCGTATAAGAAATATTTTGTCCGTGGGTAGCATTAATGAAACAACAAAACAAAGAATGGCACAGATTACATTTGCTACAGAATGTCAGACTTTCCAGGATTAGTTTTCTTTTTTCTCTGGTCAGGGCTAGTTATACGGATTTTGCCACATGCAACCTATGCCAGCCGCAATCTAACCGAACCCAATGTACATGTTCTTGAAATTTTCTTAATTTTTCTGTTTCCAAAAAGTAAAACGGAAATAATATTTTAAGAATATAAAGGAACAATACAACCTTTCCTAAATGGCATTTTCTTATGAAACAAAAGGAGAATTTTCAATTTTGTAGTAGTAAGTAGACGCCCGAAAATGTTTGAAATTTTGAAAGTTTCGAAAATTCAGTTATCACTGAAAATCATACCCATGCCGCTTTTATAAATGTGTTTTATTCTATTCCCACACAAAATTTAATGAAAAATATTGAAGCTGTTCTTGAGAAATATTTTAAAATAACTCAGAGTCTCTATATAAACTACCTAAAACCAAAAATTCTTAATGTTTTTAAAAATTGCAAAGCTTCGACATAGGACAAATCGACAGAAGAAACATTTGCACGAATGATTTATGTGCTGGTGTTGTTTACATACACGGACAGACGGGCGGACAGACGGGCGGACAGACGGGCGGACAGAAGGGCGGACAGAAGGGCGGACAGTCGGGCGGATAGCAAGTATTAAGTTACTTTTCCAAACGCCTCCCCCCTAGCAGCGCCCTAGGCACATTTCTGGGAAGGTGTACTTCCCCGCCCCGCCGCTAACACCGACGCTCCGAATGGCACGTAGGCCGAGAAGGTGTGCCGCGCGCTACGCCCAGTGGCCAAGAGACAACTGATGAGCTCTACAGAAAGCGACGCACACTTGCAATGTTAAGTGACATAGACCTGTTGGCATTACTTCAAGTATTATTGTTTTACAGTAATAAATTATTTAAATCCTGTATGTACTCATATGCAACTGTACTCTGTTAAAAATATACAAATGCACTTCGTTTTACTATTAAAAAGTTATATTAAAACCCTCAATAATTACATAGGAAGACATGAAATAGCCACAGTCCTTTGAGCCCTTTAATTTCTAAATGATTTGTAACAATTAAGGCTGAAATGATTTTGGCTAAATTTTAAACATACTGTCAAGATCACAACTTAGGATTTGACTGAAACTTGTAGTGTGATGCAGCGCACATTTTTTTCATTTTATTTGTAGAGTTTTGGAGAAAATTGTACTATTTTATCTCACTGTGTCTTCTACCATCTCTAGAAAAGCTTTTGGCTCTATGATATAGTGCGGAAGTGCTGAAGGTGCACTTCAAGAAACACGGATTATTCGAGAAAAACTGCGTTATAATTTTAGAAAATTGAATTCTTGTAATATCGCTCCTTACTGCACACAATAACGCGTTTAATAAGGGTTGAGTTGTAGTGTGCTCTCTTAGGGTTTGGTTATAACTTCAAAGTTTGAATTCTTGATTTTGTGATGTGTGTAAGAATGTAACTCAATACCCATTTTAAGCCGACAAAATAATTAAATTAATATAAAAATAGAATTAAAATACTTCAACGGACGAATGATGGGCCAACTACTCTCTGCTGCTTGGACATCAGTCAAAAAGGTGTACGATCCATGCAAAAGCAACTATTATTTGCTACATAAAGAAAATATGGCATACAGCAGAAGAGACATGTGAAAAAGAAAAACGAATTTTCACGTTCGCACAAAAAGGTGCTACAATGGATGATAAGAACTTCTAGCGAATACCTGTGGTTATGGATACACCTAAATACAAATTACCAAATACAAATAGTCACACGAAATCATTTCTCTCAGCACTCATTGTTTCTCTGATACAATTGATCGTTGAGTTTTTGCTAAATGTTTCAATGTGTGCTGATAATGAATGTAAAGTAGCGGCAAAAGTTAAAAAAATCAATCCACTATCGCAGCAGTTCTTGTTCAGCCATCCAGATCTCTCTTAAGTATATCTACTTTTGTGCTTTTTTTTCCTTTTTTAGAGACAGGAGATATAGATGGAATGTTTGTCAAACGAACTGTCGTTTTGAAATTGCTGGTGCTAAGCTGCTCATAGCTCCTGTCAAAATTTTTAACTTTTACTTATTGTGAAAATTCAAAATTTTGAAAGAAAACATGGCATATGCCCTTCTTTAAAAAGTTAATTGTTCTACCCCTGAAAAATTAAGAAAAAATTAAATGTGTTTTTGAAATTATTATCTTTTACAAAATTCATTATAAATTGTGGGTCACATGTAGATTGATTCACACTTTCTGCTTACCACAGTTGCTTGCTGACCTTAACTAAATATTTTTTTTAATTCTTTCTTATTTTTCCACGTAGAATTATGGAGACTAGTGAGAAAGCGCGACTTTTACACCTTTTGTGAAAAATGAGATATTGGTTTCGATAGAAATCCGTTGTAGTTATGCGTCGTTCTATAAAAAAAATTAATATAAAACACGATAATTGCAGAGAGCTTCATAACATCGTGTTAATATCAGAATCTTACACTAATATTAATTTCGTTGCAAAGTACAATCCTGTCAATCGAGCAAACAGAGATCCTCGTGTCACTACATTTTGTCACCGTACTATGTGAAAATGTAAGTTTATAATCTATAGAAATCTAACCCACCAAAGCATTCACCAAGCTGATATTGTGTATGATATATATTGTGAATGTCTGCACCTAGGAATTGCTGATGTTTATGTTTGAAAAAAATGGCACACGAAATAATGAAAGGGAAAAAATTAATACTCATATAAAAATCTTTACTGAAAATACGTTTTCACTAAAAATACAAAAAATGATATTTCAATTAAATATCGTAAAGATACTTTTAAAATTTTGTAGTTCAACGTTCTTCATAATAACTAGATATTTTTGAATTTTCATATGCAATTGATTTAACTATCAATACCCAGGTATTGATCTGTAGAACATTTGCCAGCAGAATAATCTAAACAAATGATATAACAATTTCATGTTTTTTTTTCAAAACAAAATAGTATGAAGAGTGCCATTTTGTAACTAGACCTGTTAATTAGTTGACTAAAGAATTACGTGATGTAATTTTCCAACTAATATATGGGCACTGTTACCGGTAATAAATAATTCTAATATATCGTCCTCAAACACAAACAAATATTGGCCGACCAATAAAGATATGAGATGACCAGAGAACTAAGACGTACAAGGGAGTGTCTATATACCTGTAGGAGATGAAGAATTCCGACACAGATTAATGATTTAAAGCATTAATTACTGTGCTTCCGTTTGTGGCGTAGGACAGGGATTCACGTGGGGCTGGTCGGCGGGCGCGAACACATAGACACTATCACACGCACGGATACCAATAAGAATAATGAGCTCACGGGCTTCCAAACTACATAAAACGTTCTTTGAAGCCTAGTATCTTTCTAAGCCGTTTGACGTATCCACAAATGTGATAAATGTAGTCTTCCAGTGAGTAACGAAATCATTCATTGCAGTGCGGCTTCAATGAGAGTCGTTAATAGTGATGGAGAGTGTTGCAATTTTAGCCGATTACAGTGACACAATACTTAAATTTTTCTTCATCAAGTTTGAGTTGACAGATCATAACTTAAGCCACCCCTAAATCATAATTTAAATTAAAAGTAATTTTAGGTAAACATTTTCAGGGCTATGTTCATTGGAGACTATGTCTATTGCATTAGAGTAAATTGACCTTTCGGCCTAACGTGATACAATATTTGAGTTAATAAGTAATATTTTTATTTTTTAAAATTTGTTACGGCATAACGTGTGCACAGCCTCACATAAGAAAGTGTTGTTATAAATGGCATATTTATTCGATATTTTCTATAAAACAGCAGAAAAGGCAGACATTATGGTGTTAATAGCATTTGTGACAGATGTAGACACATTTTAAAAAACAGTTTTTTGTACTGATGTTGATGCATAAAAAACTTACATTTTTCGCTAAGGAATTGGAATCCTATTCTCTTCGATACCGTCTTATAACAATATATAGAAAAGGAGGGAGTTAGCCACCAGTAGCAGGAGCCTGAGGCAGCGGTTTATTACAAAATTGGCAAACCTGCTCCCGATGACTAGCTCACTTAAGGGATTTTTCAGGATGACGGCAAAGTGAAGGGTAGGGCGGCTATTCATTTTAGAGATGATGCAGCACACGTGACCAGCAAGGGGCGTCAGGGCGGCGAGCAGATGTCTTGAAGGCAGGGAAAGATAACGGCACCGGCTCACTAGTGAATGCTCTATTGTCAATGAGGGTACTTTCAGTAGGAAGCCGACTGTAATCCCAAACTTAGAGAATGAATGTATTTGCCGTTATGTCTTTTAAAATTTTTTGCTAAAATATCGTAAAATGTTCATGATAAAATAAAACCACTTTTAATAGTTTGAAGTACCCAATATGCTGCTAAATTAACCACAAGAATGGTTTGCATACCCGTTAAATGCACACTACTTCAGAACAAAATTAGATACTCTCGTAGTATATCACGGCAATATATTTAAACAAAAATTGTCTTCATGAATACTGAAATAAAACACCACAACTAGTAAGTTGAATGATAACGATTTTTGCAGAGCTTGATACTTACAAAATAGTTTCCAGTAGGTATCTACTATATACTAATATTTTATCTAAAAACAATTCGAAATAAGTATTCGTTTAAAAAACAGTGAGTTGTTAGGACTCAAGAATATAAAATTGCAAAACCATTAACAAGTTCAACTTCATTAAATATCATTTTTAAATTACGTTAAAGCGGTTTTGACGAATACGTATAGCCGCCAACAGTATGCGAATATGCTTATATGTATCATGAAAAATTTGAAGGACGAACATTTACAATAAGAACATATTTTTATTGTATTCATTGCAGTTATGGGTCGTCCCAAAACTGCATACATTTACAACATTTGCAGTTTTTTGCAAAATATAGTAAAGCAAATATTTACAAATATTTTTTTAAATTATTGTTTTTGGTTTAAAAATTATTAGATTTTATCCGTTTACACAAAGCCTTACTGAAAAAACTGTTCTTCAGATATTTTTCTAAAATTAAGATATCCCATTAATATGGATTAACTCAAAAAATAGGGAACTTCAAATGAATTATATGATATTTGAATGGGGTTACTACAGCAACACATAACGAAAAAAATTTCATTTTAAAAGTGTACCATGTTTTCTATGAATTTTAAATGGGAACTGAGACCAGTATACTTATTGTAAAAATAAATGTTTATCATAGGAATAAGTTTCAAAATGCCAAATCTTTATACACTTATTACTTATTCAATTTATAATTTAATATATTTTACCATAATTTACTCAATTAATGCACTTGACAATGTTCCATTTTCAAAATTTTTATTGAAACTTTTGGTTTCTTTCGGGCACTATTCAACGAAGTTTCCTCAATTTTCCAAATAGATATATACATCGATACTGACTTTTATATTTTTTTTCAAAAATACACAGCATTGAAAAAAATAGCATCACCACGAATTTTATAACATCACTTAATACCTGCAATTGAAATGTTGAAGAAAAAAACAAGTCGTTATTGAGAAAAGAAGTTTAAAATTCTTATATTTCACGTAAAATTATGAGACCACTATTCACATTTATGATAAGGAGATAGGTTGTTTTGCTATTATATTTATTTTGGCAAAATTATGAATTGATTTAATTTTCATTGAATGTTATGGATTTTCGAAAGTTAACATAATTAAAAATAATGTGAAAAGGTACGTCCGATAGTATGGATACTAGATTACAGAACAAACATAATTTTCTGTGAAACTTGCTGTTTATAAAAAAGAAATATTTTCGAAGGTATTGGTAGGATAAGAGTTTTATAACAATGTAATATCTAAAAGAACGCTAACACGAAAATGTTTGTGCCATTATTTTGCTTGAATTTTAACAAGAATACAGTAGTGAAAAAATTGTGCATATTGAAAATACGACCAAATACGGTTTGGCCAGATTCTCACAAACATGGTGGCATTGAGCCAGTTTGGTTCGGTTGGTAAGCGAATGCCAGTAGGATTGGAAAGGAAGCCGGCAATTGTCTCCCAGGTATGATTCTTGTAGCTTGGCCCCTGCCTTGAGGTGGGGACGTGGATTTTTCTGCGAGAACTCAAAGGGCGTGGCGAGTGCCGAGCGCTGCCTGAAGGGCGGCACCTAGAAGCTCAGAGGGCGGGAAGGAGGGGGTAGGGGACGCGACGCGCCCGCTATTGGCCGAACACATAGATCCACGGGGATGTGGGTCCGGCTTAGGGCGCCTTCCCACGTCACCACGGCGCCGCACTTCTTTTCAAGCAGCAGAGCCCTTCCGACGCCGCCACCGCCGCAGCACCGGCCACGCCCCCCCGGCGCATCGAAGAAAGGGACCGAGGCAGTTAAACGCAGCGACCGGCGGCGGCAGGGGGAAGGCTACATTTTGGGCCCCTCCCACTTCGTGACGGCGGTGCGCTTCCGAGCAGCTTGGCGCGTAGCAGAGCATTGGTTTGAATGGAGGCCTTCCCACGTGAGAGGGTAGCCGCTGCTGGCGGCAGCGAATGCCGACTCCCGCCTCGTGAAGCGGGAGGAGGGCGTACGTAGCGCCACGGCTAGCAGTAACAGCTTTAAATGGAGCCTACCACTGGGCCGTCGGTCGCGTGCGTTTTACCTGCTGCGGTCTCTTCGTTCGTCGTCGCCGCGAAGTGTCGGCGAAACCTACCCTGCAGAACCCAGCCTTCACGGCGCGTGCGGTTGCACGCGTGGCTGCGGCGGTGGCTTGCGTCGGAAGGGCTCTTCTGCTTGACGGAAGCGCAGCGCCGTGGCGACGTGGGAAGGCGCCCTAAAAGCTTTATTCTGCTACGGTGGCGCGTACGCTCTCCTCTGGCTTCGCGTGGCGAGAGTCTGGCGACGCTTGGCACAGCAGCGCACGCCCGCCGTACGTGGGAAGGCCTCCATTCAAACTAATGCTCTGCTATGAGCCGTGGCGCTCGGAAGCGCAC